TTTTTTTAGGTCTGAATTCTCGTTCTCTTTTCTGTTTTCCATCCCCCATAACTTCCCCCTCTCCCTCTATTTCACCTGCCGGGGCTCCGGCGGATGCTGCCGTAACGATCTAGCGAGCGCTGACAGCGGTGGCCACTGCCAGTGAACCGAGGTGGCCACCGGGTCCCCGGGGGGACTTGCCTGTCTCCCGCAGACACCCGCGGAGCCGCACAGACCGTCGCCAACAGCCAGATGCCAGTTCAGCTGGAAAGGGAGCCGCCGAGCCTCGCCGAAAGGCTTGGCAGGAGGGCGAGGGCTGGCTTTGGAGGTGGTTTTGTTCAGCTTTGCTTTGTGCCCGGGTGGGTTTTGGTGTGTTTATTCTGTTTGGTTCGTTTTCTTTTATTTTTCAGAAGGCAGGTGGTGGTTCGCAACGCTGTGTGAGGGCTGAAGCGGCATCCTGAAGGGAGAGGAAAGGGGTGGACACGCAGAGGGGGCTCGGGCAGCTCCACCATGATCCACATCCGAGCAGATTTGGACCAATGTTCCCCTAAAATCTCTTCCTCCCCTCTCCCCCGTCCCTTTTGTTCAGGCGTTTGGGACCGTCTGTGCCCGAGCACCAGGCAGACGCTGTTCTCCTCCACGATCTGCTCGGCTCCATCTCGCCCAGATTTTCCCCGCAGCCTTCGGTGCTGGTTCATCCCCGGCCCCGCTCCCGGGAGGGCTCCTCCAGTGTGTGCAAACCCCGGGGCTGTGACAGCCACTGGCCCAGCTCTGCCTGTCCCTGGGGGCTCAGGGAAGGGCTCTTTGGGGGGAAAAAAATGCTAATTCAGCACTGCTCCTGTGCACGCACGAGCCAGACCACCCTCCACCCCAAGGCTCTCGGATAATTCTGTGCAACCCAAGTAAGTCTGAACTATCTGTACAGCACTTAAATAGGAATATTTCTTTTTTTTTTTTTTTTTTTTTATTCTTTCACTCGTTCTTCTTGTCTCTTTGTTTGCAGCCTAACAAGAGAGGAGAGGAAGCCCTCACCACTGTCTGGATGGTGACAGAGACACTCCAACGTGGCAAAGAGCAAACCACGCCGTGAGTGGTGACCTTAGGGGACTGGAGGAGAAGGGGTTACTGCCTCCCATCTCCCTCCTCCTCCTCCTCCTCCTCCTCTTTGGGCACAAGCCTTTAGCAAACAAGACATGTGGGTAACAGATGGGTGCTCTGGTAGGTCTGGAAAACCTCTCAGGCAAAAGTAAATCCTTCCTTTCCCACCAGGAGGTTCAGGGCTCGTGCTGCAGAACAGCGTGTACGAGCCCCCAAGGGAGCAGATTGCCCCGTCCCCACGGCGCTTGGCTGGGTGCCCTCCTGCCACCGCTGCACCACCCAGCACAGCAACCCGCTTGTCCAACCCCCGAGCCCCGTCCCTCTGGCCGGAGTGGTGGAGGATGCTCTCAGGTGGGTGAGGATGAGGAGGGTGGTGGTTTTTTCTCCCCCACCCCCCCTGGGCAGGGCTCCCTCTGGGGCGAGAGCGGTTGTTGCCGTGATGGGACGTGAGAGGTTGGAGCTTCTTTCCGGGAGAGCGGTGCGCTCTGCCATTAATTGGAGGGAAAACAATCAGAGACCTGCTGCTTTTGGAGTTTGTTGAAAGCGCAGGAAGAGGGGGGAATGTTGGTGTTTATGAAACGGCAGCTGGTGCTAAGCTCTGGCAGGGGAGCGGGAGGAGGAGGAGGAGGGGAGCGGCTGTATTTGGGTTCTGGGTCTAATTGGCAAAACTGTAATAATTCTTAGATCAAATACGTGATGCATTCAGCCCACTTGCATTTTTTAGGCGACTGTGTGTAATAACAAGTCATAACACCGGGGATTTCATGAATAATCATTTCTGCTTGCCTCCCCTTTCAGCGGAGGATTTCCAGAGTGCCTGACGGTCGTGCAGCCTCGCTCCATCCCCAGAAGGCAAATTAATATAATCTTTATAAGGGAGATAAGACAGACTAGACAAAGGCCTGGAATAACTTGGTTAAGTTTATCAGAAAAGAAAAAAAAACAAAACCCCAAACCGATAGCACCACCAGGATTTATGCCCAGGAATTAAGATTCTCAAACTATTTGGAGAAGGAGATGTCTGTTCTTGGCACAGCTTGTGTCGGCGCCGCGAAACCAGCTCTGGGAAGAGGAGCCACTCTTCCCTTAGCGAAGGAGAGAAGACACAGGGCGGCGGCAAATAGACTTCAAGAGGACTGGAAAGGCGCAGAATTTAGGTCTGAAACCCCCAGGGGATGCGAGGGGCTGGAGGGGAGGGACCCTGGGCACCCGTTGGCCTGGCACTAAAGCATTTCCTAAAAACAAAATCACATTCCAAGTTGCTTTTACACACCCAGAAGAGCGGGAGAAGCGGCAGCATTAATGCATCCAGGAGCTACCGATGGCTGTTGAAATGGGGGATTACAGGCATAAAGGCTTGGCCGACTCACTAGACCTCATTAAAGTCTAATCATCTCTGTAAAGACGCGGCATTGCGCATACACGGCAGCCCTCACAAGGGCTCTCTCTTAGCCATTTGGTAGTTTGGCCATGAAACCGTAAAATGTGTTTTATTTGTGTTGCGAAAGCACTTAGGTCAGGATTCCCTCCACGGGGCTGGATCTCAGTGGTTTGGTTTGGGAAGAAAAAGGCCAGGCTTATCCCAGTGAGGGGTGTGACGGGAGCCTCAATGTCCCTGGAGACATGGGGGTTCGTGCTGGAGCCTTGTGGGGGGAGGCAAAACCCAGGAGCAACAGAAATGTAAATGCTTTGAGGTTCCAGTGCCCTCCAAGTGACGCATATGCTCCCCCCAGCTGCAGGAACTTTGATATCATTGACGTAAAATCTTGGTAAAATAAAACCTGAGATGGACCATAAAGCCAGCTTGTTGTAGAAATTGTGAAATCTAACACAAATGGAGGGTTCTCTATTAGAATTGTGACATCTAAGCCTTTAGAAATCCCCTTTTCTTGGGTTTTCTTTTTTTCTTTTTTTGGTGATGAAGCCAATTGTTTGTTTTTCTGAAAGCTGTTCTTGAGTAACCAAGTGGCTCCAAGAGCCGCCGCTCTGAGAACTCCTCCAAATATTGCCAAATTCTGGTGAAAACCTCAAAGCTTGGCAGCTCCATGAGGTAAAGAAGTTCTCATGTCAAGTCGGGCTCTTGTGACAGGGACCTTTTGTTGCTGGTGAATTTGTACAGAAGCTTTTAACGAAGGAACTTCCTTCTTGATGGAAATCTTGGGCATCTGGCTGGAACCTGCTAAAAACGTTTACGCTTGGGGAAAAAAAACAACCTGCCTGACCCCGAGTTGAGGAAAATTGATGCCTTGAAGCTGTCGTGGTGGGGAGAAGGATCCAGTTGTGCCATCCTTGGACTAGTTGATCTTAAACGTCCCTTCCAGCCTAGACAATTCTATGGTCCTTGAGTTAAATTGTACCTTCCTGTGAGATTTGTCCTTTCCGAAATCCTGGTGTAATGCATTAGCACGTTTTGGAGGTGAGAGCTGGCCACAAGAGTCTCATTTGAATCTGAGGCCACTGCTGTTTTTTTGGGGGATATGGGAAATAGGAAATGGGAGAAAAACGACATCTGATTGACTGGGAGATTACAAAGGGAGAAGAGATCCCGGTGTCCTCCAGAGAGATGGATTTAGGTTTATTTGAGGTTGATCAGAGTTATTTTTTACAATATAGGGCAAAAGTAACAGAGTTAAGAATTACTGCGATATCAAACAGCATTTAAAAGAAGATGGTGGAAGTCTCCTCACTTCACCCCTTCAAGCTGGAGGAGGCAGAGCTGGTGGGAGCCACCACCCCGGGATGGAGAGGTGTCAGGATGGGGAGATGCTGGGCTGGTTGTACTCCTGCAGCAAACCCGTCTGCTCCTGGGTTGGCTTTTCTTTCCTGACTCATCTGCTCCTGATGCTGGGGAGCCCAGATCCACCGGTCCCCACCAGCTCTAATGAGTGCAATTAATGGCCAGGGGTGGGGGCTGCTGATTGACTTTGGTGGGAGGGTGGAGCGGGCTGTTCTGGGAAGCCAGTTTCTAAATGTGCAGAGGCACAGGTTAGCTGGGCTGGGAGACTCATGAAATTTAAATTAGGAGGAATTTGTGGGGAAGAGGAAAAAAGTATTAACAAACTAAAGAGCTAATTACTGGAGATGGAGAACGTTCACTGTGTAGTTGTAGATGACAGCAGTAAGTAGTTCCCATCAGGGCTTTTCCTGCTTCGGAGACAAAGGGATCGGCCGTGGACTGAGTTATCAAAGATGATAAGGGGCTGCATTTTATAAATGGAGATAGGCTCTAATTGCAGAAATGCCTGCGAACCCTTCTGCAGCACTTTGCTGAACCCTGGTGTCATGGTGCATTTTTGAAGTCTGCTTCCTACAGTCATTACCCGCCGCTTCATTTGCGATGAAGTTTGCAATTTGCGGAACTTCATTTGGATAAATATGAGGCTCCCCCCACCCCCGATTCTATTTTATGTCCATCTATTAACGGGGAAAGAAATTAAACCTCGGTTCCTTGTGTAATATCTCAGCAGGGGCAGGGATTTAACTACTTCATGGGCAACTTCTGCGGTGTGAGCAACACCCACAAAGTGAATAATTGGGGGCTATAAACCAAATACATTCGAGTACAACTTGATTTCGACTCCAATGAGGAAAATTCTATGATTCTAAATTTTCCCAAAGGAGTTGAAGGCTCTCCCTTGCATCTCATTATAGCGGGGGGGGGGGGGGGTGAGGGCTGGGGGGTTTAGGGGGGGGGGGTTTTTTTTTTTTCTTCC